TAGGCATGTCTTTGATAATAAACCATGCAATAACATGGAGGAATATTACATCATCTCTGCAAAAACAGGCTTAAGAGTTTCTTGCTGGTGTCACTTCTAGGTCAACGTCCTCAGCCATCATTTCAGTACAACACTGTGCTATCATCGGTGTGAACATGCAGACTTTTTTTCACTTGCTTCAGTATTCGTTGTTGGAAGGTGATAATTAGAATCGGCTGAAGGCTTCATTCTGTTTCCAGTGATAAGGTCTTCATGTTACTGAGGGTCTTTATTTTTGAGAGTCCAGGCACTGGAGACTCCAGGAGGTATGACCTGGTACGTAGGCATTTAGCAGGGACAGGAAGGCAGCAAGGCTGTGTGTTCAGGTTGGTCTCTTGCTTTTTTGATCGGTTTTTGTAATACAGCACAGGCTGTCTTATTGTATACCGGAGAGAAATTTAGGTTGCATTATGTTAAAAGCCATGGAATATATGTTAATGTTTTTCACCGTATCTTGTGGTGACTCGCTCCTTTTTCGTTGTTATAGTTTTGTGACCTCCTGTGTGGTGTGAGAGATGTTTTTTGGTTTAGTTATATTTTTATACAGTTTTTATTTCTTCAATATTCCTTCGTAGTAAAGTGTGGGTGTTAATTCAATCATGTGTGAAGAAAACGATCGCCTTGTGGTTGGTGATGGTTACATGATTGTTGGTTTCATCAGTGCGGCTGTCACCAACAGGTGGATGGAAATATGTACCACAGGACATATTCTAATAGCACAAATGCGCGGTGGTGCGTAATCTCTTCGCCAGGAAGCGAGGGGGGTGGGGAAGAGTGGGCAAAATGAAAGCAATCATTGCTATTATGAGTAAACGCAGAGTAACCCCCATATAGTTACCTCTTCTCTCTTTATCACTTCATCCATGCACCTTTAACCATACACTGACAGCTTACTTTATAAATGAAAATAGCAAATAAAACTTGTGTTGGATATTGAATAGTAAATTATTAAATAAATAGTAGGAAAACATTCTGTAAAATATATAAATGAAGCAATAAATTTAACCATTTAAGAAATTAGTTCAAGTTCATGATTCGTTCATCTTATTTTCACTTTAATTAACAAAAAGTTAATTTCTATTTCATGTTTTTTTCAAAACGCCCTTTCAGCCAATCACACAGCCCCAGCAGGCTAATTACCTAGCTGGCTAACTAATTGGGTTGTTTAGCAGTATTAACTAGCTCGTCGACCACAGTCTCTTTTGCTCCTATAGCTAGTTAGCTGCCAAGATACGAAGCATTTGCAGCCTAAATAAAATTAGTTACACTGTCTATGAACTGCTCTAACTAAATTTGGTAGCAGTGTTGTTGAGCTAGTTTCGTCAACAACTGCTCAATTTAATATTTTAGAGAATGTATTCCTTTGTTTTATAATAATTTATTCATTTATTTAATATTGAACACTTTGTGGCACCATACAAACTCGACTGTTTATTGTTCAGATGACGGTTGTCAATTGCCTGCTTTTTATACCCAATTGGTTAGGTTATTTATTTTGCAGAATGAAAAAACAAGCAAAGGGATACCGGTTTGATTTTGTATATTTATTTCCTGGCATTCCTATTAAAGGTGATCATTTGAAATAACTACAGTGTACACATTCGTATTTGACATTCTTTTGTGACCTCTGGAAAATAAAACCCTGTCTATTTTTTTCCAACGTTAAGACGATTAAATTATTTTTCTTTAAAATACATGTTGTGCACAAAAATGATATATACATGCTTGTATATGGAAATTAAAAATGTATTCCTAATTTGAGATACTTTGCTCCCTTTTTTTTGTTTTTACAGTCTGACTAAGCTAAGACCACAAATGATGAGTAAAACAATCATCAGGGGCAACTAACAACTACTTTCAGTAGGCTACTATTAGCAATCCTATTATATGGTTGTTGTTTCTAATGAATACAAGAAAACGTTTTTTGACTCATGAGAAACTGAAAATACTAAAGATACATAATAATATTCTCTTTATTTGTCTTGAACATATACATTGCGACAAGATGAAATCACAAGAAAATCAGTGACACATGATTCAAAGGATGTATTTTATATTAAAACTGGGTATTAGCATGGATAAATTCATTTCAGATCATTTTGGAACCCTGTTGGTTTATGATTATACAAATAAAACATGCAGACATTCATTAATTAGTTAAACAAATCTAACATTTCAAAGCCTTTAGTCAAGCACAGTAAAACATCAAAAGCCATGTACTCTTACTTAAAAATGCCCCATGTACCAAGACTGAGTCCTTGCTGCAGCGACCATTTGAATCAGACCTGTGGCCCTCTCCCTCTCTCCCCCTTTCCTGTCTATCTTCAGCTGTCCAATAAAAGCCCCCCCGCCCCCCAAAAAAAGAAAAGAAATACATTCTCTGCCATTTAAACAACATTTAAATGACAAAATCAGTGTATTTAAACACACATGTACGTACATGCATCCTTAACAAGTTCATTGGGTTTGCTTGACCGATTTTGCTTAATGTAAAACAATGAATATTAAAGGATTGAAAAAATTAAAATACTGATATTACAAAAATGTATAAAGATACAAAATTATTTAAACTGAGAATGCATGTTTCTTTCTTAGTCTTTAGTAGTCGTAAGAGGTTTCATAAATCCATAAACAAAACACTAAATAAAAAATATGTAAATGATAACATTTTAGGAGCTTAGTTTCCTTAATAAAGTCTCTCTTTTCATCTGAGGTGTCTGATGGATTCCTTTTCACAGCAGACATGAATAAGTCCATTACTAAAAAGTAACAATTTGACCAGTACATTAAGGATGCTAAATATTAACTGGATAACATTTTGTCCAGTATCTTCCTCTCCCTTTTCAACCCCTAACAACTATGTAGTAAAGAAAATATCTAAAAGTCCAATAAACAATTCAGTAGAAAATGTATATGAATGCATTCAAAGGCACATCTTTCTGTGCTGCCTAGACAAAATGTTTCTATTTAATAAAACCTCTTTCTGTTTCTTTCCTGTTTCCATTTTCACAAGTACTTTGGTTTTTGTTATCTCAATGTCAAATGCTCTCTGTCCAAAGCTAAAGCACTTCTTTTTACTTTTAAGTTTTGCTCCTGTATTCAGACTCCTCAAGCTCAAGGATAAGAGGCCTCATACTCCTCATACCTTTAAGGATTTCATAGAGAGCATCTTTGGCTGTTGTGCTGGTCAAACACTGAAGAATTCACTCCATCTGGTCTTGTGGGGATTTTAAAACTGCCACAGCATCATTCTTTTCCTTTGAAATGACCCCCCTCTTCTTGAGTTTATTCAGGATGTGTTCTGTATCTCTCACTTTGCTAATCGGAGCTGTCTGGTGGCTGACCCAGGGCTGCCATGAAAGAGATAAAAGCAGACAAACAAACAATAAATATTAAAAGTTGTAACGGTCATTATGTTAACATTCTACAACAAGGAACGTGAAGTCATAATTTCACTTCTCAATCATAATTTAGACTTTTGCACATTACTTACCGCTAGTGGTATCTCTCGAGGCAGACCGTTCTGGTTTTGTTTGCCCAGGTTTTAGGGTAAGGGTGTTTGAGACCTCTACTGATACAGTGGAATGAGATTTCATTAGTGTTGTGAAGCCTAAATGCAGTTAAAGCCTTGCAATCAGACATTTCTCCAGTATTTATCAACATGATATGCGTGAAGATGTAGTTGGCCAGAGCTGTTACTGAATTTTCACGTTGACTTATTTCTTTAAGGTCTGATTTAAAGAATGAGACAACTTTTGTTTAAACTTTTGGATGAAATTAGTGCCTTTTTGTTTAAAATGTTTTGGTGAGTCTCCGACATACTTCCTGTAGCAGTCTGAGACGTCTCTGTAAATGTATGGGGGATCATCTTTCATCATGTCAAGCTTTGAGTAAGTCAGATATTGGTAAAAAAATGCACACTTTCTCTCAACTTCATCTCTGAGGTTGTTTATTAGATCATTAAATCTGAAGAGTTTGTTGTCTCCAAGTAATTTCATGAGTCCATGGACACGTTACTTTTGAGAACAAAAACTTTTTAAGCAAGAGGGTTGCAATGATGTTTGAAGGCACAATGTGAAGTCATCATTTCACTTCTCAATCATAATTTAGACTTTTGCGCATTACCTACCACTAGTGGTATCTATCGGGGGGGTAGGGGTGTTTGAGACCTCTACTGATACAATGGAATGAGATTTCATTAGTGTTGCACACAGCAATGAAAAATAAAATAAGCAATTTGACTCCAAAAACAATGTCTCAGTTACTCTGGATCATCTACAGGCCTTTCTGCGAACAGTTAATTGGAACTATTTTCTGATGTTAGGGTTAAATTAAATCAAATGAAACAATCAGCAAAAATAATATAAGGTAGTGGCAAGGTAAAGCACAATTTAATAGTCATTAAAAGTGGACAGTGCAAAAGTATGTCATATAGGCGAATGGGATGTTGCTGAACCAGCTACCAAAAACTTAGAAGGTAATCCCTAACCCTCAATAAAAACATAACAGAAAGGGTCATAATGTTTTCCGGATAAGTGAAACACCATAGAGACTATTTCATTAGTCGTTTGTGTTGTATAATGCTCATATTATGGACTGAAATGACTTGCTTACATTTACAATATATTT